CTTGGAAGGGGATTATTGAGTTATAGCATATACGTTTGAAAACAACTGGCTCGTAAGACGGTATATACGGCCAAAAACAGTCAAAGGGTTAATTAGGCTTTCCACTTACAGTGAAACATTAGATAGTGAGGCTATTTCAAGCTGAGAAATATATTCTCTTTGTAATCTTCTCGTGAAGTACTCTCCCCATATAAATTCCAGTGTAAGCAGAAGGATGACATAATACACAACCGGGCTCCTACCCTGGACAAAATACAGGTACATCATGCCCACCATGACTATGCTAACACTGTTTCCTCCAGCCCACAAAAATCCGACATGGATCTCAGAAAAACTCCCACAAGTAACATGGAATTGAAGGATGCCGGAGTTTACAGTATATCGTGTGGTAGGCATGACTGGATCTACATCTGGGAAGCTGCCAGAAGCCTCTCAACATGATTGCAGAATATAAAAATGCCTGTAGGATTGATAACAACGTAAGGGGCTTGAAGACTTTTCCCCTGCTTGATATGACTATTGAATATCACATTCTCAAGCCTACTGTAAAGAAGGTAATTTAAATGTGCAAATTGGATTAATATTTTTACACATTACACTCATCTTCCTTCTCCCACTAAATTCCTCCTTCCATGATGAGTTACAGTCAGCTATCTTATAAGCTCCTTCATATAGTGCAATTTTCCATGTGATTGAAAAAGCCCATCAAAAATTAAATAGCATGTACTGTGAAGACGTTTCCATGGACATTTCAATTTTGGATGTATTTTTTTGAATGAATTTACTAAAAATTGCACTATATAAAGGAGCCTATAAGGTGACTATTACATTGGTTACATCTCTTTCAATTTGCTAGTCACTATTCCATGAACCTCAGGCAAGCATTTTTATAAATGCATACCTAGTGGTTGCCAGACTGTGCTAGAGCCATCAGAATCAAAATGCCATGTGGGGGTCAGTATTTATATAATCGTACTAATGCCTGCTATTTAGATTTCAAATAATCAAGAGCACATGCCCACTATGATGAAAGCAACCAAGTATGCTTGTTGGCATGTTTATATTTAACTTCAGATGTCACCATGAGTACGGTATCTAAAAAGTTGCAAAAATTGGCAGGCAAGTACTCACCTGCAGCAGCTCCAGTCCTCAACATTGGTAGTGTAGAATTAATGGATCCAGTTGAAGTTGCAAATGCAATAAGATACCACTTTGTCTGGGTCTCCCGTGGGCCATACCTGTCTCTTTACTTTCTTCACTGTATCCCTCCGGGAATCTTCTGCTTTAGACTTCACTTCTTGCATAGATGAACCATATAATGCTTCATGTACCACCTTGATTTACATTCATGTTGTCAGTCAACCAAAGTAGCTGGGCCTGCTCATATACAGGAAGGCCCCACTTATACGGCGGTTAGGTTCCAGGCTACCGCCGTAAAGCGGAAATCGCCGTAAAGTGGAACACCCTTTTTTTCCATTTATAAATGCATACAAACACTAGATAACAAGTTTACACTAACATATATTAAGTTATGGCAATAGAACCTGGCATCAAAAAACAATAAAAAGTACAATACACACATATGCACTCATTACTACTAAAATATTTATAGTCATTATTGGGGGGGTGGGGGTTTTTTAAATTATTTTTTTTTTTTTTTTGGGGGTTTTTTTTTTTTTTTATTTTATTGGGTGTGAATGTATATTTATTGTAAGAAATCAAGTGTGGGTATTATTGGTAATAGCAGCGATCGACCAGGCCACACCACCCACACATACTGTGCTATGATATTTAAGCATCCCCAGAGCGATAAAATTATATACAGTTTCACTCATTACTGTCCTAAAATATTTGTAGTTCTTAATGTAGGTCAGAGTAATAAATGAGATAAAACGAATAATGAGAGAGAGAAAAATGAGTACATAAGGTATCAGAAGCAGAGTATTGTAACATACTCAGGCTCCCCACATCTTATATTTATGTTTATTATTCCTATTGTGGGGTGTATTTTATCAATCTTTTTTATGTTATGTATCGTGTTTATTATATAATTGAAAAAATATCATGGCTGGATTAATGAAAATGTTAATTACCGTAATATACGACATTTAATGAACTCCGTGACTATTGTTATTTTTCACCAACATGTGGAAGTCGTCTGCTACCAAAGCTCACATTTATGTTTATTTATTCTACTGTGGGGTGTAATTTATCTTATTTATATTTATTCATCGTGTTTATTATATAATTTTGAAAAAAAAATTATCCATGGCTGGATAATGAAATGAGTATATACCGTAATATACGACATTTTAATGAACTCCGTACTATTGTTATTATGGCTCACTTGTGGAAGCGTCTGCTTCCACAGCTCACATTTATGTATAATTATACCCCCTTACTGTGGTGTGTATTTATCTATTTATATGTTTTGCATCGTGTTTTATTAAAAATTTTTGAAAAAATATCATGGCTGGATTTAATGAAATGTGTATATTACCGAAATATACGACATTTAATGAGACTCAGAGACTATTGTTATTATGGCGTCACTTGTGGAAGTCGTCTGCTTCCACAGCTCACATTTATGTTTATTTATTCTACTGTGGGTGTATTTATCTTATTTATATTTTATGCATGTGTTATTTATTAATTTTGAAAAAAATATCATGGCTGGATTAATGAAAAGTGTATATTACCGTAATATACAACATTTAATGAGACTCATTATTGTTATTATCACCACTTGTGCAAGTCGTCTGCTCACATCTCCCATTTGTTTATTTATTCTACTGTGGGGTGTATTTATCTTATTTATATGTTATGCATCGGTGTTTATTTTTATAATTTTGAAAAAAATATCATGGATGGATTAATGAAAATGTGTATAATTACCGTAATATACGACATTTAATGAGACTCAGTATTTTATTATCACCACTTGTGCAAGTCGTCTGCTCACATCTCACATTTGTTTATTTATTCTACTGTGGGGTGTATTTATCTTATTTAATTTATGCATCTTGTTTATTATATAATTTGAAAAAAATATCAGGGATGGATTAATGAAAATGTGTATATTAACGTAATATACGACATTTAAATGACTCGATGTATGAAAGTTTAATTTGGGTACAGGTATACATAAGTATAATTATCAGAGTATATATAAAATATGAAAAAAACTTTTAAAAACATTTGAAAATTTTGGTTTCCCGACAAAATGGAGAGACTTAGTGCTTACTGAGCTCATGGAGAATGTAAAACAAACAGGGTGGGGGCACGGTGGGCCCTATTAGAAAGTCAGGTGGGGGGAGCCGTATAGTGATTTTTTTGTCAAAATTTTGGAAATTTTCCGTATTGGGCGGAACCCCCTTTAAAGTAAAACCCTTTAAGGGGGGCCTTTCCCTGTACATATTTGAAATTGTATTTCGCATTTGCACTTTTAAAGCAATACTCTTTTTTCCCTCCCCCTGCCCATGTTTTTATTTCAAAAGTTTTACCCTCCCAGTAGTAGTCTGCTGGGTTTCCTTTTTTTCCCAGAAAAAAGGGTTTGTCAGGCTCAATCCCTCTAAACCAAGAAGCTTTTATTATTTTTTATTTGTACATTGATGGGGACATCCCTTAAAAAGGGAGACTAGTATGGTACCTGGAGATTCACAGTGTGAATCTCCAAAAATCAGTTTGGATTTCATTATTGTGCCATACGATCCTCACTTTGACTCAATAGTACGTTTATTAAAAGGGGTTTTCCAAAAAAAAAGGGTTTTTGAGGCTTTTTCAACTTGGAAAAAAAACTAAATGACACTGCATGGGAATACACATTTTATCCAAAAAAATCATTCTCATGGTTTGGGAAAATCCAAAATCTCACTTTTTTTCAAGGCAGTCATGGGAGATTAAACCCCTTAAAATGCCCAGTCAAAAACAGCGTTTCACCCGAAATTTTTTTCAAAAACTACAAGGGGTTTTTTAGGTATGACCCAGCTTTATTAGTTGTTAATGTTCTAGATTTGGTACTATCTTGGGGAATTTGGTTCCTTTTATAAGTAGACAATTTTTCCAATGCTTGTACAGGCACTAACAAGTATCCACATTCTTACAAAGTGTGACTGACTGTACATTTAGTTGGACTA